ATTCTGCGCTGTTTTCACGCTCCCAAAAGCCTCCAAAATAATTTGTGCATTTCGAATTTGAGTCGCAATCTTTGATTCTTTTTTTGTATGTGTTGAGAGGAGCAAAAGCTGAGACAAGAGGTGACCTTGAGTAGCCGTCTTTCCGGAACCTGTGATGCCACTATTCAAGTAAAGAAAAGAAAAAACACAAATTGCACGACGCGTAAATATTGAGATACGTAATGAAGTCTACGTGATCGAGAATCCGACAATGTCATACATAATCGGATTCCGCCAATCAAAAGAAAATAACGGTGTGTTCATGTATTTTCTCATTGTTGGTCGTCAGTGCACGAACGTCAACTAACCTGAAAATAACACTTTGGTCCTCGGCCGATCTCCTCATGTGCAAGTATATCTTCGCCGCAAATTCGTAGATATGAGGTTGTAAAGTAGAGTTTTCACTAGAAGTGTCTCTGTACCATTGGTCAGCGTATTCTTTTGCCGACAGGTCGTTCATTATTTCTAAGGGTTTATTAGGGTTTACTATTACAAGGGAGGAAGCATTTATGCGGGTGTATGGTAGGTCTGCTTTAAAACGGGCGGAAAGAAAGGTTATTATTTCTTCTTCCGAAGGAGGAACACCAGTATTTGACAAAAGTTGAACCAGGTCAACCTTGTCTTCCATTGATTCCGGTGGAATCGCGGAAGGGTTCTTTTTGGTTTTTCCCATCGGGACTGATAAAAAAAAAGTGTGGTAGCGACTAACGGTGCAAAGAAATTTTGTCTAATATGAAGGGGGTTTTCTTTTTTTTTTTTTCTGTTTTTTTTTTGATATTTTATTTTACAATATCCGTTAGAAGTTTGTTTCTTCTAGACCTCGTAGGAATATGATAAATGCTCGCTTTTGTCTGCTAAAAATAAAAAAATCGCTAGAACATGCCAAAAGAGGGAAAAGGGAAAAGGGAAAAAGGGAAAAAGAATGTTTTAAAAAAAAAAAAAAGCAAGTTTAGATGTAACAAGTCTTAATACATAAGACAATATTGAGATTAATTACCACAAGAAAATTGATATAATGATTTGATAACATACAGAATGTGCAAGAGGTGTACGTATGTGATGTGTATGTGTGTACTTAACTTGAGAACATTTTATTTTTTTTTTTTAATAAACGAAGCAAGGAATGCAAAGTTTGAACAAGTATTGTTAGATTTCTATAAGAACACAATGATGGTTAGTGATACCAGTAAATATTATATTATATTATATATAAGAGTTGCGATTGAAAAAAAAAAAATCCAAAAATAAACCGTAAGAACAGACTGTTGGTGGAAAATGTTTAAGCTGATGCAAGAGAATGTATAAAAGAAGGACCACAATGATGCTGCCAAAATCTTTCCAAAAATAAATAAAAATACCCGATTTGTAACCCATCTCGTGTTCGTAATTTTGGCGGTAGAGCCAAAAATAGCCTCTAATTACTTATGAATATACGTGCCTCTTTAGACGTTTGCTGTCGATAAATTCCTTAGACAGTTATATATGACAACCCGGAACCGGTTGCAAATTTATTTAAATCAAGTCGACAGACTAACTAATTCATAAAAAGGGCTGTGCTAAAAGTCTGGTGATGCAATTATTAAACTGTAATTTATCGAAAGAAAAAAATTATTCATAGTGGAGAATTGTTCATAGCCCTTTACCTTCTTGGATGATCTATGAAAATCTTCTTGGCGATTAAAGGAAATACGTGATCTAATCACGTAAATCCCAACATATAACCGATGAAATAAAATGTTACACGAATTAAATTATGCGTGCTTTATTTTTTAAAAATTTCCAAAAAAAGCACATGTAATTATAACATATGATAATTTCCGCTGAAGCCAAAGTTGCGCCATTAAGAGGTTGAGCAAAGTTAAAAAAACGCTTTTTTTGCTGAAATGGCAAATACCCACAGGTGCTGGATCCTTGCTCTTGTTAGTGTCAGTTACTTAATATGGTTTCAAAATATTTACATTGTCAAAACTTACTGCCAAGAGATGGTTTATAATTTATACGTCTTGAAAACAAATAAGATGACTTGTACAAAAACGTTAAATGTATTAAAATGCAATGTTGTGATCTTGCAACGTGTAAGACTTTTAAGTATGTTTCAGTGTTTCTCCACTTTCATCGGGACAAATCAGCATTAATCCGTCTGAGTATAATTACTTGAATCATCAAAGGGTGGACACTTCATTCGAGTTTTTTCCAAAACAGGAAACGCATATTTGATGACGCATACTGCAGGTGTGTCACGGAGATTATTGCAATCCCTAGGGGAGGCCTTAACGCCGACTCACAAAAATTGTTGGTATCACGGTATTTAAACTTCAGGTTACAACTGTGATTTACTCAATTTATCTGCTGTTTTACTTGTGCCAATGTCCATATGGAAGGGTCGCACAAAATTAAACTTGATCATATTAAGTGCAAACCATTTTTTTATTACACTACTTAAAAAAAAAATCAATATATCAACAGATTGCGTATCCTCATTCCCTTTTTATGTGATCTGGATAGTTTATATTGTTTAACGCGATATACAGTATTTCTTATCACGATAATGGCTTTAAACTCAGACTCGCCTTTGATCCTTCAGTAGCGTTTAAAGTCTTTTTTTCTTTATACTGAATTTGTGCATCGTTGTCTTGAGGATAAATACCACCAAACAAAATATTGTATATAACCATTGAACGAATACGATCTGAATTAAAAAGTTTCATTTTCGCAACACTAACTACATTGTAACCATTCATACCAAGAAATAATGATCCTTCTATATTGTCTAGCATCTCAATTTGAAATTCTTAATTCTTGATATTTAATTTAAACCTCAAATATGGCATAATATACCGTATGTGGATTTATTTTTCAATTTTTAACATTTTTGATGATTTCTATTTTTTTATTTAAAATCATTAAAACATTTTTTTTACAAACATTTAATGATAAATCTACTATTTTAAAATGTTTATTTATATTCAAAGCAAATTTAAATTTTTCACTTATTTGATTTATCCATTATACAATATGGGTTGGTACACATCAAAACCATGCTTTAACAAAAATTGAAATTTTAGTGGATTATACTTCCGAGAGCGTCCTTTATCTGTGATAAAAGTTTGGATATATATTAATATATTATAATTTGGTACAATCTCGCGCGCAGTTTTTTA